CGTTCTTGGATAATTGCTGCAGACTACAGGGGTGAAGCAACTAAGATAATGTAGCATTGTCTGAAGAAAATAGGGGGGAGGGAGAAGCTACTAAGTAAAAGATAGATAATCACAGGCAATTTAAATGACTGAGAAAATTGCAGAGCAGACTCAGGCTATCAAAAATATTATTCTCAAGGGCTACGGAGAATAATACTGCAGGTGGTTGACAGGAATTACAGTTTAAGTTTGATCCAGATTAAGTTTGAATCAATATACATATAATAACCCTTGGATTTGATAATAGCGCTTTTCACATCTTCTTGACGTTTCAAAGCGCTTCACAGAATATACTGTAACGTGAATTGACTGTATATTTGTGAGTGAGACGCGGCAGCTAATTGCACACAGCAGTGTCCCAAAAACAGTCGTGGATTGAACTGACCAATATATTATAGTTTTTTTTCTTGAGGGATTATTAGGCGTGTGGCGTAAGGAAACTTGCCCAAGGTTTCACCCTGCCGGGAATCAGACCCAGGTCTCTCGCTTGTGAGGCGAGTGCTCTAACCACTGAGCTACAGGACTCCATCAAATAAATATGATGGGAGTCATAAATTGTTTGTTTTGTGTATGCTTCAATAGGAAGGTCTTGCATCAAAGTGCATTTTTTGAATGTCTGAGCACATCCACATTCCCTCTTTATCTCTCAATCACTTCTCTAACATCCACAACGACATGCGTTTATAGAGCTTTCTTCATGTAGATTCTCAGAGATAATGCCTCAGAGGACTTTACAATTCCGGGGTGGGACATTATTCACGTTGTTAACTTGCCCAAGGTTTCGCCCTGTCGGGAATCGAACCCAGGTCTCTCGCTTGCTCTCTCTCGCTCGCTCTCGCTGTAAACACTGAGCCACAGGACTCCCATCAAATGAAAAAAAAAGCGGTATGTTATTTTCACAGTGTAAGTTGTATATTTTCTTGTAAGTTGCGTAAAATACTCCTTTTACAAGGATTTATCATTATTATCAAGTGAAAAGATGATAATGTTATGACACTGCGCTTTATCATGTCATCGAGACGTCTTAAAGCATTTTACGGGATATGCAATAAAGTGGTGCGAATTTTGTGGGAGAATAATATTAAACCGATCCGCATGTAGAAGTTTAATTTGTTGTTTTCGCAAGTCCACATTTGTTGTGCTAATGTGACCGAGTAGTTTGTGGCTGTTGATGTTTGGTGACTTGGGATTTGTTGGTTGCTAATGCTCCCAAAATGGAAGTCACAATGAACCTTCTCTTCATTAAAAGTAAAAATGCTAAAAATCCCTTTTTCTTTTACAGATATCCTGAGTGACAGACTATCATTTAAGCAGCACTTCTGGTTGGATTTCTAGAGTCTGCTGTTTCTTTGCACAAACATTCGATGAATGGTTGATCACAAAAAAACGATAAGATTTAACGGAAGCCAACTGGATAGGACATCTGTGGCTATAACTTGTTGAAATTGTGTTGATGAATGAATTGTCACCAATTTAACCAGTAGGCGCTGTGAAAGTTTCAAACACATCCCTAGTTACATACAATCTGCTGTGTCCCACAGCCCTGTCTGGGACTCCCCAGAGAGAGTGCGAGCATGTGCGCTCGTTGTGAAAGGAAACAATTTACATCTATTTAGGAGTTCAGTTTAGGGTTCAGATGCCGGTTTCAATAGAAGAGTCAATGTGAATGAGCAGCCACGCAGTGTGCCGGGTCTGATGTTGCATTATGTTTTGTTTATGCACAGACACAGTGCTGAAATCCTGGCTCAGCAATCAAATCCACATGGCTGAACAGCTGCAGAAATGTGCTTTTTTTTAAAAAAAAGCATTTGCACAGCACAGATCAAACAATACGAGCACATTTCTCTTTTGTTTGTGAATTAACAGGGAGTGCAGCAGGTGATGGAGGGAGGAGGGGTGGTTAGTTGTAAACATCCCCACTGGAAGGGGAAGAAATGAGTCAGCCTCTATGGGGACAGTGAAACCAGAGGGTTGAGTTCCTAATTTGCTGCCAGATTCCTGTTGGCATATGTTCATACCTGCACCTACTCCTGAGAAGGGTCTGGTTTACACCAGCAGCAATGTAATGCAATCTACTGTGGCAAATGGAGGTTAAGATTGCAGCATAATTTTGACTTGCTACTATAAGAGTATCTTTAGATAAACTCTCGTCATTAGACACACGATGGAAGCAGACGGGAGAATAACAGGGCACGGATGACTTTAATTGTTCAAATTTATACTTTGGTCAAATGAGGACTGAAAACAAAATTCACACATACAGTACAAGCTGCTTGGCTGAAAAGTGAAGAAAGTTCCTTAAGTCAAAGGAACCTTGGATAAAACATGTTCCTTTCCTCGTGAATGTGAGAGCTACATCAGACAATAATAATAATCCTTGCATTTGCTATAGCACCTCATCACATCAAAATGTATCAAATCACTTCATAGGGTTTCTGTAAAATGTAGAGACTATAATTGTGGGCAAATTCAGTTGCCAGTTTGAGCACAGCACAAACAGCTATAAAGGGAATGACCAATCTTTTAGTTGTGGGATTATTGGCTGCGTCACTGGAGAAACTCCCTTCTTTTCAAATAGTCCCATGGGATTTTTAATACTCACCAACATCTCTGCTGAAGGATGGCCTGTCTCACAATGTAACGCTCCCCTATTATTTTCTGGCATTTCCTAGACTAGACAATGTCCACGACCAGGAACTTAAAACCATAATCTTCTGACTCAGAAGGAAAAATCCCTACTAATTCAGCCAGACTGACACTTTATCACTGTTAACAGGTTTACATGTGAAACTGTTTGACTGAAGTTTGACTGTGATTGATAATAATGTCAAGCAGTGTACAAGATGGGAAAATTACATCTTGGTTTGACCTCCCATCATTTCAAACCAATTTAAGCAACTGTCTGGCCACCACACAGGGTTTGGCATTAATCACTATCACACTCTAATACAGTGTTGGAGAAGAACTGCATTCTCAGAGGAACCGTCCTGTGGATGAGATGTTAAACTGAGGCCCATCTGGCTTTTCAGGTGGACACTGAAGATCCAATGGCAGTAATGGAGAGGAGAGTGGAGTTTCTCCTGGTCAACAATCCCTCAGTTAAAATTGTTCCCAAATTGGCTGCTGCATTTACCTACAACATACACAGCTCCTATACTTTGCAGTAAATCCCGTGAAGTACTTTAAGACATTCTCCCTGACTTATTGCAATTACCTATAATAACAGTCGGTACCTATTACTTATTATTAGTCACCACGTCGTACCTTTTCCAGTGTTGCATAGCTGCTATAGATCACTATTGCAGTCATCACGCTGCAGGTTAGTAGGAAATCTTTTCAGGCTTCACTAACTAAAATCTGGTCTTCATAAGATCTACTGTTCAATGTTGTAATAAATAAGAATGCAAACTTAAGAGCGGAGCGAGTAATTTAAGGTCGTGAATTCGTGTGAATGTGGTGGAAGAGAAAGAAAGAAATGGTGTTCAGGGTTTCCTATCATATTCACTGACTGATGATGTGTGACATGTTTGCTACACTTTATCAGCAGTATGTAACTCTCAACCAACTGTCGTTATAAACAAACCAATAACTAACTAACTAACTAACTAACTAACTAACTAACTAACTAACTAACTAACTAACTAACTAACTAACTAACTAACTAATTAACCCTTCCATGTGATATAATAACTTACACGCTAGTAAGATGCCCCAAGCGCTTCACATGATTTACTGGAATTCATAGGACCGATGGGAAATCTTTTTTTCTTTATTCTAATTATTATTACTATTATTCTGAGAGGAGCTTCTGCTTTGATATAAATTATGAAACTGATGCAGTCGCAGAGCTGTCAAGTGGGACGAAAAGTAGCCACCAAAAGAGAGGCGTGAATATTGTCACTTTCCCATCATGATCACTGTGCACTGAGGCCACTTTCTTTATGTATGATTGTTTTTAAATTACATTTATCATCTCTTGACTTGTCTGAACTGCTGGAAAATCCATCCAAGTGTGGATCCATACAGTTTCAACTGCATAGAGCCTTGGTCAGACCCCATCAGTTTTTGGGCATCGGATCTCAGGAAGGATACACTGGCTCTGGAGAGTTTCAACGCAGAATCACCAGAATGATACCAGGGTTCAAAGGATTAAATCACGAGGACAGGTTGCATGAACTTGGTCACATTTTCAAGACTGAGGTGGATAGATATTTGTTAGGTCAGGGTATCAAGGGATACGGTGCAAGGGCAGGTAATTGGAGTTGAGGTACAGATCAGCCATAAGAACATAAGAAATGCTAGACGAAAAAAGACCAAGGTCCATCTAGTTCACCTTCCACCTTCCCGGGGATCGCATGCACATATGTCCCGAAATACCTATATACTATATCCCATAATGTCATTTCCTAAAAGAAAACTGTGTTTGAAAGAATCAACACTTTGTTTGATAGAACCAACACTTCGGAAGAAGCCACGATCTTAGAGAAAGGCCGAACAGGCTCGAGGGACTGAATGGCCTACTCCGGTTCCTATGTTCCTATGATCTTCAGGAAAGCAACGACTTTTGACAAAATAACTGTAGTTATAACATGATTCAAAGTACTAATGTCAAGAATGATTGCGATCCTCAAGTGCTTTGTACAGACGTCAATGTCCTAGGATTGCTGAACAAAGTACAATAATCTCCATCCAAACATTTTTACAACAACAACAACTTGGACGTATATAGCGCCCTCCACGCCGGACGGCTTCTCAGGGAGCTTTTAGAAGTTTATACATGTGTTCTGTTTGTACATGTTCATACTGTTTGAGTCTTTAGTATACCTCGCATTAAAGACGTTTGATTTAATGGTTTTTATAACAAATCTGAATAGATTGCAAAGAGATGATCACTGATGGTGACCTTTGTCACACTTCATCCAAAAAAATTATAGTCACTTGTTTAATGGTGCACTACTTACTTCAGTGAAAGTGAATAATCATTCTTGCTGCTTTGACTGTTTCGAACAAGATAACTGCATTCTTTACACAATCGCAGAAGGTTTTCTGCATCTATTCGGCTGATTCCTCCATGGTACCATCTGTGAGAGAGCGAGAGAGAAACATTAAAGAAAAAAAACCCCAGGAATGGAAGTAGGTCAACATTATTTTGCACGGGATTTGCAATGAACCTGTCAGCTAGTGGGGGGACTTTACTCCTTTCTGGAAACAGCACAGGATCTTTATATCTTAACATTTTATTTAATTCGGAGAATATAACAAAAAACATATGGTGGACAAGTTGCCAAACATACACGCATTGTTTCGCTGGGTATTCACTAAAAGGGAAAGTTGTGCTTGGCATAATAATAAGAAGCTAATAAGAAGCTTTTACTGTGAATCAGAAGCAAGATTGAGTCTAAAATGCTGGTGAACAAGCACCAATATCAAGGACAATTACACATTGTGCACAGGCTGCTGTGGTTCGGTCAACTCACAGCTATATTTTATTTAAAGCAACATTTTCCTGCCTGCACGGTATTTTCATTCGATTCCGCAAGTTTCTTTTGGTTTCTCTCGGTGCATAATCGTGCGTTTTATGCTGGAATTAAATTTCCTTACATTTAACTACTGTAATAGATACAGAACATACAGATTAGAGGAAGTACTGTGGTTCCGTTAGGATTAAGTTAAGGCTGTAACTTTTGGACAGCTAAAATCAAAAATTCTGGGGAGAAATATTCCGAAGATTACAGGAAGAGAAAATTATGGACTGTATTTATTTACTTGGGGACCGCACAGAAAAATAATAAAGGGCCTTCCTAGTCTTGTTCATTCCCATGTTTCTATAACAGTACCTGGTGCAGTGACAATTTTACCTACTACCCACTGTTAGTGAAGTCTCAAAATCTATTAAGAGCAGCTGTTGAAAATTTCTTTGCTCCACATCTGTTCTCAATAGTGAGTTATTAACAAGAGCTGTATCAAGTGTTTCAGAAGACTGCACTTAGATCACCCCTCCCCACAGCCAATCATAAATACTCTAAAAAATATTACTCGCTAACATCTAAGCATGAGTCGGAAACGTGTGGAAATTTAGCATCCTCTTGGGAAGACCCACTTAGTTTTCAATCTCACGAGATCTGATCTGACTGTAGTACTTGGCTCATTCAAGTGTGGATGTGATACATTTCTGAACTGAATTCTCTCTCTGTCTCAGTCTCTCTCGGTTTCTTTTTTGTATTTTACAGCACGTGTATCCATTAGGACTCCCTCCGACCTAAAGTCCCAGCGGTTTGGGAGGCCGCTTTGGGAATAAAACGGAAATTAAGAGACTCACTGGATCAGATTGTTAGAAGGGAAAAGCACAAACCAAGTGGAAACAAAGAACAAAATACCAACAGCGTCGAATTACATTTGTACAGCGCCTTTCACCTCCCGGGGTGCAGGACAGTGAGGGATCCGCACCCGAGCTGGTGGGTGGTATCAGAAAGGGTGGCGGTGCGGGGAGGGTAGGGATAGGAGGGTGACCAGGTAGCCAGGTAGACGTGCAGGAGAGAAACCAAAAGATACAATGGAGATGATCATACCAAAAAAAAAAGCTTTTCCTCAAATATAAATCTATAAATAAACAGAGAGGACAGAGAGGAGGCATGGTGAAGGAGCCTGGCCAAGACCGCTATCAGCTAACACTATAGGGAATATCAAAAACAATGATTTTTACAAAAAAATAAACAAGTCATAGCAACAAGGCAGTTAAGAGAACAGTAAGCTCCCTGGACGATTCCAAAGGGGATATAGATCGAATGACTTAGGGCCAATAGATATCTTAAGTATGTTTTTGTCCCAGTACTCACAGAGGAAAACATCGACTGCCTGCCAAAGCTGGAGGCGTTGTTTCCAGTACAAGATGAGGAGCTGTGCGCAACTGGCTGCCACGTTCGCCCACAAATATACACTCAATTCACTTTACAGTGTGTTCTGTGAAGCGCTTTGGGACGTCCTCCCGACGTGAAAAGCGCTATATCAAATGCAAGGATTATTATACAAATACAGCAACAACCAGGGCTAAAGGTCAGCTTGAACTGAGCAGATCTGATGAGAATTAAGGAAGTGGCCAATTAAATTTATTATGCTTTATTATGGTCGGTAAATTTAGGGACTCATTGGAAAGAGGATCGAGGACAAGGATCATAACGCTGGTTTGCTGTGTCAGTCTGGCTCAGTCGGTAGCAATCTCCCTCTGAGTCAGAAGGTTGTGGGTCCAAGCTCCATGTTGGTACTTGGAAATTATATAGTCTGAGCAGATGCTTCAGTGCAGTGCTGGGGGTGCATTGCATTGTCGGAGGTACTGTCTTTCGGATGAGACGATAAATCGAGGTTCCACCTGCCTGTTGAAGTGGATCCCATGAAAATATTTGAAAGGAGAAGGGACTTTCTCCCGGTGTCCCGGCCAACAATCTCACAGATAAAATTAACCATTCACTTCATGCTTGTGGGGACATTGCTGTGCGCAAAGTGTCTACCCTGTTCCCCCCATGTAACACACAATCACTGCACTTTACAGTTTATCCCGCGAAGCACTTTGGGACATTCTCTTGGCCGGAAATACCAAGAGTAAGGATTATTGAGATTATTATTAATCTGCAAAAAAGGGGCAAAAAGATGATGTGGAAACTACAGACAAGCGAGTACGACATGTGTACACTCCCTCATGAGAGGCTAGTTCGCAAAGTTAGAAGGCACAGATTTGGTTTGTGCGTGTGAGTGTGTGTGTTGGGGGTGGGTGGTGGGGGGGGGGCAGTGAGTATAGTAAAGCTTCTGAAGTGGCTGAATCATAACACGCAATGGGTAATTGTATATGGAGCTTCAAGACACGAACGCCGTTAATACCGTTCAGTAACACAGTATAGTTTTGAAATCGCCTCACCGAGGGGAACACCACACTTTAAACAAGTAATTTTTTTAAAAAATTCCATTCTATTCTGCTGTAAATTTCCCCAAATGGAGAGTTGGATTGCATTAGGACGAGATGATACAATTTGATTACAATTGGACTGTGCCTACTTACAATTCACGTCAGAAGATCGGCCCATCTCCTATGATCTTACCTTCTTTCATTTGAGGACCATCAGCAAATTCCCTATAATCCCCTCAATTATTCCCAGCCTCTTTTGTGAGGTGGTGAGTATAGGCAGAGGGTTGTGACAAAAATGCAGATGATGTGGATACGATGTGATGCATATTTCTGGGAACACTGTCAAGGTCACTCCCTTTGTTTGATGAACACCAGCATGCTTCATGTGTCCCTCCCATCTCAAAGGGTTGTCAAACCCTTTTGAGATGTTATCCTGACGTGAACGTAAATTATATTTGTATTTATTGCTAAATGCTGGGATCATTTGCTATTCAAACAGGAAACAGACAGTACCTGACCTCACTGCATTAGTCAGTGCGGAAGGTTGGACTTACACTTGTTTTTCCAGTGGTGCAGTGGGGTCTACTCTCTCTCCTAAAATCCCACAGAATTCCGGGCTTCCGTGTTTGATTAGAGCCGGAGGTCGTAGGTGTCTTCGTCTGTCACACAAGGGAGAAGACGACTGCTTCTTCTCAATACCGTTGAACTGAGCTATATGGAGAAAACAAGACAGAAAGAGCAGACTTAAAAACAAGATAATAATATTCGTTGCATTTGGAATAGCACCTCGTCACGTTTCAATGGCTTAAAGCGCTTCATAGAGTTTTCTGTAAAGTGTAGTGACTGTATTTGTGACGTGAATGTGGCAGCTAATTTGCACAAGGCAACGTGCCGCAAACAGTCACGAAGTGAATAACCTTTGGATTTTTTGATTGTTTGCTGGGACACGGGGAGAAAATCCCTTTCTCGTTTCGAAACGTTGCCTGACCGATAGACCTCGGTTCGATGGGTTGGTTGGAAGGACGGTATCTCTGACAAGCCGTGCTCGCCCAGCACTGCATTGGAGCAGTAGCCCAGACTGTCAGCTCAAAGCTGTCCAATGATCAAGGAAGCTGTATCTCAAAATGAGCCAAATTGATCAAAGCCTGCAGGTCGGAGCCACGCACATTGAATTTTTGGCAGTATTTTGGGGAGGGTTGGGCGGGGGTGAGAAGTCCTGAAATATCAGAGGTGCCAACCCTTGGATAAAACATTCAATCAATGTCGTGTCTAGTGACACAGATGAAGTTAAATATTTCATTGCCCTATTTTGAAGGGTGGAGAAATCGTCTAATCTCCTCGTAAAATATCCTTCCCTCACTGAGATTAACCAAAAGCATAACATTCTGTAATTGATCTTACTGTTGTTTGTGGGACGTTGCTGATACATATTAGTTATAGTAGAGCCAACTGGCCCATTAGCCTACATAATAAGTCACTGCAAAGTACTGCAAAGCGCAAAGTGCTTTGAAATGCAACGAGAAAAGCACCATTATTATAATACAACTCATCATTTCAATTAAAAAAAACTAAACACTGGAAATTGACAGCAGTTCTATCAACATCTGAAAGACACTAAAAAAAGGTTAATGTTTTGGGTGTGAATCTTCATTAGGTTCTGATTTTTGGAGGGTTTATTTCAGACTTCGTGGGTTCCCCAATTTTCTTTTTATTTCCCGTTCTAATGACTTATCCATTAATTATTTTCCCTTTCGTACAAAAAAACCCACATTTATTAGCCATCACTGACGAGAGGTTATGTGACCACGTGTAACCTACTTAGAAACAAATTTGCAGGTTGTCGGCAATGTCGTTTGTAAATGCATTAGCACATCTGCCACACTTAGATCTGTTCCTGATATCACTAATTGGAAGTGGCAGCTAATTAAGACGGAATAATGGGAGGACGCGGAGAGTTCGGACGTCGGCTGAATGAAAAATACGTGGATTTCAAAATGAGATTTGGAAAAGGATTATTTAAAATATTCTATGAAGGGGTCAGTTAAGCCGGGCAGAGGGGAGAGGATTTTGATGTGAATACATTGTTTTACAAGTCCAGGGGGCCTGCTTCAATTGGTGCGTTGCCAAAAGTAGCCTGAGGAGACATGCCATATTGGTATATGCTGACTCGGTGACATATCCAGTGGCTCCTTTCTCCACCAGCTGTTCCCCATCCTCACCATTCCTAGATGTCAATCCTGACATTTGAGGACTTATTTAAGAACCGGCTTGATGTGATAAGGGGGATAATTCTGCAAGGATGAAATCAAATGACTCGCTCCATCAAATCCTCGCCTGTGAAGAAATATGCCGTCACTACACTTATTAATCAGTGCACTTATTATTATGCACTTATTATCAAATACCCTGGAGTGCTGTCAAATGTCTTGATGTTAAGAGGCACTGATATTAAATGCCAGGATTTTTACAGTTATTTAGAAGCAAAACGTTCAGCAAACAGCTAGGATTGTAAATGATGAGATACCAGAGTGGTCTATTGAACAGACTGTTTCTCCCTTTCTCCTCGCCTGAAAACACTGACTTGTGTTGAGGTACATTTCCAAAGGTTCTGTGTTCCTCCCTTGACCTTCTCCAAATGTCCAAGCAAGCTCGCAGTTAAGTCGAAGTGTAAGTTAAAATGAGTTGTCATTTTTCATGTTTTGGCAAATGTACAGTAACTTTTTTTAAACTACGAAATAATTTGTCAACATTTTCAGCAGTGGTGAGATTTGCATAAGAAAACCAAATTCAGCCTATCCATTCTAAATCGCCTTCTGAAGAGAGTGGATTGCTGCTTAATCTACTGACTGTCGGCACATCGAAGAGGAAGGTCTTCGGGTGCGATTTGAAGTCAGTCAAAAAAGAAAGTAAAGTGGAGGGATTGCAGCAGGGAATTTCAGAGTTTCGGGCATACTGGCTGAAGGCACGGCCACTGATGGTGGAGAGGACAGATCGGAAAACACGCAGAAGGTCAGAGCTAGCGGAGCGAAGGGGGAGGGTAGAGGAGTGGGGTATGAGCGGGTTAGAGAGGCAGGGAGGTCGTAGAGCATGAAGTGGTGATTGTGAGGGTTCAGATATCAAATCATTCAGCGATAGAGAGCCAGTGGATACTGGCCAGGACTAGGGTTATGAGGTGCAGAGTTTGGTGATGGGTGAGGACGTGGGAGGCAGAATTTTACATCAGTCGGACTTCGTGAATGCTGGAACTGGGGAGACTGGTGAGGAGGGCATTGGAGAAGTTGAGACAAAGCCATGGATCAACAGCGTTAGGTATAGTTGGAGAACAGNAAAAAACCTGCCTATTAGATTTACTACAACACTAAATTATTACAGATCCACATGTCACTTACTACACAAGGAAACCATTTAGCTGATCAGCAAAGCTTGAATAAGACAACTATGACTATATAGCACCAGATACCTGTTTCTACAATGTCTGGAAACAATATCCAGACTCCATGGGGCAAGCAAGATAAGATCCTCTGTACAGTATTGCAGAGATAAATCAAAAGTATACAGCTAGGATTTTGTCCAGCTTTCATTCACCAAACTAAATCCACACTTCAATCCAGATTTCTTATTCAAAAATTGCTGCAAGCAATATTAAATCAGTGTTTGTGAACTTTGGACTAATTACATGTCTCGAATAAAACTGAACATATTGCACCAATTTTGAAAAGAACAATATTCTGCTGAGCTGAGGTCACTCTTTATACTATTGTTCTCTCCCACCATGTCTGTTGTCCTCCTCAAGGTGGACATATCCTAATAGAACCCAAATGTTAATCCTTGCATTTGATATAGCGCCTTATCGCGCGTTGAGACGTCTCAAAGTGCTTCACAGAATATGCTGTAAAGTGAGTTGACTGTGTATTTTGTGGGTGAAACACGGCAGCCAATTGCACGCAGTCGTGGATTGAGTGACCACATTTTTAGGTGGTTTTTGGCTAAAACTTGCTTTTCGGCCACAAAAAAAGACTTTTCTGCTTAGTGGAGGGTTCTATTGCAATTGGAGCAGAGCCTTAAAATGTGAACTAAGATAGTTAAAACTGAAGTCAGTACACATTTCTTCCCCCCAAAAGAGTTGTGAAGATATGGTTTGCTCCGCCTCAGAAACAGAGGTGAAATCAATGGGGATATGTAAAAGAGATACAAACAGATAATAATAATAATCCTTGATTTGATATAGTGTCTTATCACATCTTCTAGATATTTCAAAGCGCTTCACAGAATATACCGTAAAGTGAATTGTCCCACAAACAGTCGTGCATTGAGTGACCAAATTATTATTTCCTAATCAAAAAATTTTTTTTTGAAGGGGTTATTATCTCGGAAAAGCAATCTGCTAATCACTGACAACCGGGTTCCTACTTACCGCTAGGTAGACAGAGGCGCGTGGAGTAAGGAAACTTGCCTATAAGGTTTCGCCCCCTGCCCGGGAATCGAACCCAGGTCCTTTCGCTTGCAAGGCAAGTGCTCTGTGCTATAGGACTCCACAATACGTAAGATACTTGGGTAGCTGAGGTATTAACTGGTATGGCGAAAGGGTGGACTCTTACAATTAAAAGATCTGCCAAGATTTAATAAACCGGTGGAACAGGTTCAATGGACTGACTAAGTCTCCTCCTAGTTCCTGATTTCCTATGTTTTGAGTGGCTGTCTGATAGACAGGAGCTAGCCGCTTCGAGCCCTGTTACTCTATTCTTATTTTGATTACAAGACAGTCAAATCCCACGTCACCTCAAGGTCTGAGTGTAAACTGTGGTCCTGCCAATTCCTCCACACAAAATGGCTGGGATTGAGTACTCCTCACATGGGGAATCTATGCGATCAGCCTAAGGCTGTCACGCTGTAATTGTGCAATCGTGTCAGGTGTAATTTTAAAGCTTGTTCGGCTCAGCGTTTACAGAGGCTATGTGCTATGCCTCGGGTGTGCACCGTAAACCTGTCACGTATTTTAAATGAGAATTGCTAATTGAGAGAGGTAAAATATTTGTTGTGACGTTCTAAAGATTAAATCTCTTTTCATTTCAATGGGCTTAGAAACATGGAAACATAGAAACCAACAGTGCAGAAGGAGGCCATTTGGCCCATCAAGTCTCCGGTGGCTCATAAAACAAGGAGATCAATTCAATCCCATAGCCCCACCTTATCCCCGAACCCATTCAAGCCCCTCTCTTTTACATGCCTGCCCACTTCCCTCTTCAAAGCTACAATGGACACTGCCTCCAACACCTCAACATCCCAACTACTCTCTGGATGAAAACGAATCCTCCTAATATCTCCTTTCGATGTTCTTGTGGAAATCTTATAACTATGTCCTCTAGTCAATGAAAATAACGTCTCCCCATTTACCCTATCAAAATCCCCTCATAATTTTGATAGCTCTATCAGGTCCCACTCGACCTTCTCTGCTCCATTGAAAACTGATCCAGCTTCTCCAATCTCTCCTCCTAACGTCATCCCCTTCATCCCTGGAATCTTGTTCGGAAATCTTCTGTGCACCCCATCTCTAAAGTGTTAGCATCTTTCCCGAAGTGAGGTGCCCAAAACTGGATAGTACTCCAGCTGAGGTCTAACCAATGATTTGTACAAACTTAGCATTAACTTAGCAGGATCCAAAACTCTTGTCTGTCCAGCGCCTTGGGACATCCTCCCGACATGAAAGGCAC